TCGTCCCTTCCACTATCTTTATATATTTCTATAAAAAAAGAGAATTTCTAATGGACTAAACAGTATTAAATGGGGATGCTAATTCAAGGGTAATTTCAAATAGCATAAGTATATTGCTGCTTTGTCGTTGTTGTGGTGGTTTATTTTTATCAAGCAAACATGACCTTTATATTTTGACAAATTGATATAGATAAGCTTATCGTAAAGATGGTTCTAACTCTATTTGTTTTTTTTTTCAAAAGAAATGATATGTTCTCTCCTGTAACCCTGATGCACAAAACGCTTTCAACAATTTTGAATGTTTTCATTAGAAAAGGCGAGTTAACGATCACTCTAGCAGTTCATTAAGCTATAGGTGATTTACTAGCAAGCATGTATCTAAGTCATCTACAATTGGGGAGATATCATTGATTTAATGCGGACATCAGGTGTAATCTTGTGATTGGGAATTTGACTAAAGATCATTAGCATCAAACTTCCGTATTAAATGTAGTTATGAGCTTTAAGTCTTATAATTATTCTTGAAGACATTTTTTTTTTTTCATAAGACACTGAAGTAATTGACTGTTCTATCTCTCTCTCTCTCTCTCTCTCTCTCTCTCTTTCTCCTCCCACCCTCCCTCCCTCCTTCTCTCTCTGTTTCTCTCAGCATTAATATTACATATACGTCAAAGGTATTAAATATACTTCAATGACAACTGCAAGCAAATTTAGAAATAATAATAATGCAAAAGTAGAAGACCTCTTTTTTGTTATTTCAAGTTCAATTTTCAATTTCAATTTATTCATGTTCATATTCAAATATCACTCTCTTGGTGTTTCATTGACGATTGCGTCATAGATTTGGTCTTGAAATGTATCTCAGAATTTTTCTGCCATTTAAAAAATCAGGTATAAGTTGAACTCTTTAGGAAGAGAACAAAAGTAGGAGGTTGAAATAGATAAAAGTTCAATGAATTATGTATACGGGTCTACAGTGGGAGGTTTAACTACATGTAAATTGTAGAGGGTAGCAGTGGGAGTGAGTATTGGAAGCCTGCGGGGACAGTCAACCTGTCTCCTCTGACATCTTAGATTGGCCCAGGACTCATCAAAGTTGAACTGTTTGTCCATTCAGGAAACCTCCTTCCAACAAATAACATCATTTCTAAAAGACTTATCCTACGAAAAGGTTGACCCAAATGACGGTTGTAACGGTCCTGTAACCCATTTACATCTGCCATCAGTCCTATTTTCTTGCACAATCTTGCTTTGCAGTGAGGTAACCAGAAGCAGGGCTAGCTGTCGGGCATTCCGGGCGATGCGTTGCGATGAACGCCAGCAGCACTCTGTTCACATCAGCACCAGATCTACACAGTTATGGGCAAGTCAATCACCATCGGCGACGAAGATGAAGCTGCACTTCTTTTCTCGGCGAGCCAGGGTCGCGTGACGAGGAGCCTCTGAAAGCCCTCCTCGTCAAAAGTCAACCAAGCAATTGTCCCTGTGCTAACAAAAAGCGCACCTGGCCAGGTGGTGCACTCGTATGATTGAGCGCTGCGGCAATCCAATCCCCCAAAACATGTCTCTACAGACAGGACTCAAGCCTTCCTAACGCATAAATGCAATTGGCAATCAAAGGGACTAAGACATGGTATGACTGAATTCTCGACCAAACCCAAGACGAGAGAGAGCTCTTTGCATAATGGGTATCTCAAGCCTGGTGGAGGGGGGGGGGGGGTATCGGGGGATATGGTGTTAATTCCACACACTACATTTTGCTATCAACAATCAGCTCATCACCCAGGCATTAGGGTCACCGCTTAAGAGAATGGGGAGTTTTTCAGCAAGATTTCATCGGCTTGATGTATACAGTTTCATCTCTCACCCCTGCTCTCATCTCGGTAACATTAGTCAAATCGGAGCTAGCGCATGCATCTGCATTCATCAGGTCACTTAAGCTTTGAGTGAACTCCAAAATCCTTTTACAAGAAGGTCATACTATCCCTTCTCTCTAATCTCATCCTATTATCTCTATTTCACTCTCTCTCCACTCTTTATTTTCTTCTTTCAATTCTCTCTCTATCCATCTCTCTCTTCTTGTTTCCCTCTTCCTAAATCTCTTTTGCTCATAAAACATATGTGTAAATTGCATAAGACCCTTTGAGAATATTTCAAAGACAAAAACTTTCAAAATTACAGAAAAGAGCTGCATGGATTGTTGGAGTAATTTTGATTATTACATAAACAGTTTAAATATGATCAATCAAAGAGCATCGGAATAGAGTAATCAATTGATGAGGGATTGTAATACTTTTCCGCATGTATTACATCCGACTGTAGTCATGAAACAAACAATGAAATAAACTTTATAACTTTAAAACTCCTGATACTTGAATGGAAGAGAGTTTTAAAAAAATCCCATACAACCTGCTGTGTATCTCCTCCACCTGTTCATATTGGTAAAATAATATAAAAATATCAATGTTTGTGGACAGTTGTATCCACGTTCTCCACATGAAAATGATCCCAGCTGTCATTTCTATAATCGTGTTATCACAGCCTGAAATATGTTGCTTTTTGTGTGTTTAATATGACAGGGAATATCTAAACAGTGACAGGTTCTAGTTTCCCAATATAGACCAAGTGTTAACCTGATTAAGATATTTGGATAATGGACTCTACCATGGCTGTTTCCCTACAGTTTCCTTTAAAATGCATACAAAATTTAACAAATAACCCACAGTAGTTTTACTTTCTAATTAAAAACAACAAAGTGGATAATTGATCAAGAGTGTGAAAGTCGTTCTAACTTTGCCTTTCATTACATCAATACTCCTACAACCAAAAGTGCTGTTACAAGCATGTGTCCTCCAACATCAAAAGCATTGTGCAATATTTTTTCAAAAACACTTTCTTAGCTGGAATATTGTTCTTCCAACAACAAAAATTGCAAAAGTTACAAAGCAAAGAATTGTTAACAGTCTATTTGTCATTGCAACCTACTTACATGTAGGTGAAGAAGATGTTGATTCTCCGAGTTACAATGTCCAGCTGATAGTAGAAGGTCAGTATAAACACTATCGCTACTAGGCCTGGCTTGTAGCCCACATGTGTTGGTTGGGGATCCCCCTACCACATGCCAAGTTAAATTAGCTTGGAGAGTTCAGTGGCAGCTGGGTGGGAAATCCCCCTCTAGAACACCTGTACCCAAACCATCTGCCCCATACACATCAAAGAGAGCTAATCCACTCTGTGTATCTCATCAATGTACAGCTGTGAGTATTTAAGCTGTGTGGTTGTAACAGTTAAGCCTGCTTAATGCATTAATAGTGTCAAATTATGCTTGCAGTGTCAATGCCGAGCTGCTGTGACAGAACTAAAACAGAAAGCAGGCCAACCATTATAACATCCATATGGCAACATGATAAACCATGCTGCCAAATACTCCAGCTAATGACTTTCCACGATACCACAACATGCAATTCAACTTGCATATCATTACATACATGCTAGTCAGCGAAGAGTCATCGCTTCTTGGATGCAAGTAATATTTACAAAGAGGCAAATCTTAAATCTTAAAAAGAACACAGAGAAATTAGAACCTCCTTTCATATACATGTAGAAGTGGAAGCAGAATCACTTTACCTACTACAGCATTCACTCTCTACATGTAGCTCTCCAATATCACATCTTTACCACAACTGTTATTATCTTCAATAATGATACAGTGCTCGCCTACTTTCCTGTCTTCTTCGATTAATCAGTTTAAAAAATGAAATTAACATGATTAATGAATGATTGCATTTAAAAAAACAGGTCATTTTCCATATAAAATAAATTTCAGTAATGAAATTGAATGCACACAGCATTTCAAAGATGGACTACCCTTTTAACCCCCTCCTAGTTCCCGGAAGTCACTAAGCACAATTCTACAGCTTAAAAAAAAGGAGGAAAAGAGAGAAAAAAAGTGAGTTGGACCTAGTTTTGATTGAACTAGTAAGACAAGCCTTGACAACTCACTTCACATCTTAGGAAGAAGTGACATTCCAAAACAGGCAACTAAATTCAAAGCTAATCAACCGCTGTACAGCTGGAGCTACCAACACCCTTCCTCTCCTCCGTAACTCTGACTTGAGGCTGGCCGGCCGCGGGCTGTTGCCGTGCCAACTACATCCCTACTAAGATTTCCGTCGGCTGTCAAATATCCCATTTTAACTTTTTACCGGTGATACACATGTTGTTTTGCTTGGATCTTTTCTTGTTTCCGAGTGTAACCAGAATGTTATGAACCCCCAAGACAAGCACTCTCTCTGTGGTTCAACTTTAGATGTCCTTTCTTGCTTTTATAACTCTGTTTGCACTCTTTTCAGCTATGTTTCTATTGCATCACACCTCTTTTTTGTTTTACTTTCTATTTAAACTTACAATTTTTTGCTATGAAGGAAATTTGCAGAGCATTATTCTTTTTTAATAAGACTGAACAAAGGCTAAATTTGATAACCTCTATATCAACTAAAAATAGCTACCTGTTCTAAATTTCTATAAAAAAAACATTTCATCATCCTCTTTTCCTGGTTTACCGCCATTTCTCTTTTAAGCGTGCTCAAATGTGCTAGAATAATTTATTTAATATTTCCTGACTCTATCATAAAACAAGAAACCACCATTCACTCTGCTCAGTAGCGCTTTATTTCGTCACATATATCAGTATCTTTTTTCCACTCTACATGCAAGCATATGCATGCAAACGAACGTTTTTCTCAAAACCACAATATTATTTCCCTATTTTTGTTAGCTCGTCACACATTCCTAACATTTCAATCACCATTTTCTCTCCAGGCTTCCAAAATGGAGTTACCGCTCTTTACCACTCATCCCACTCCATCTCTCCATGCCCACTTGACCAAGTGAGTGTCCAACACACTTCTCCTCTACGACCATCTCAACAACAATCCTCTCCAACGATAGACTCGACCTGAGCCTGCATGGGTTTACCCAAGGAAAGCAGCTTCACTTACCGATTCTCTTGATATTGAGGAGTATGATGGCATTGAATACAGATCCTTGGATTTTCCTGGATACGGAGAATACAAAACAAGAAACATGGAAAGATTAGGAATCAGGAATTTTCAGTAGCTTATGTCAATTTCCTGGCATAACAAAAAAGAACATGAAAAAAGGAACATTAGTAGCAGAAGAACTGAATACTTACTGTAAAATGGCAAAAGACATACTATTTTTTTCTAATAAAACAAACAAAACAACAACAAAAAATGAATTGCATAACTATGTATTTAAAGATATGTATTTGGAAGAGTTAAAGTTTGAATGGACTGGGATTTTTTAACCATGAATATAAATGGTGTTTTTCAAAAGAGCATCAGGAAAGAAAAATGATTTCAAAATTTGAGGGCATTCTCTGAGGATGCAGAGACCTGGCTTGAAATTATTTTTTAAATATTTTTGGTCCCAACAGATTTATATTTAGAAAAATTCATTAAAACTACATGATTGCCTATGCAATTTGTATATTTTTTATAACAACATGCTAATAATGAACCACACCTTTGTATGGATTCATGTCAAATTAACTAATTTTGGTGAAACCTGCATGAGAAGGACACGCATTGGAAATGTTTATAGTTAATAGGACATCTCTACTCCTAGCACTGGAGACATGGTAGATTCTATGCAGTCAAAACTCATTTTCCATGTTTCCTTTCAATTATAATTTCAGTCAAATCAATCTAAAAACTAACTCTCTATCTCCATTTCACCTATCTGCTTATGGCCCTGGGTGAAAATAACAAATATGCTTGCCCAAATATAGTAAGAGGAAAGCGGGAAATGATTAGAATTGGAAGTCCAACCTAGATTGTATGGTAGATGGGAGCTCTATATGTCTCATTTCCCTCAGAGCAAACGGCTAAGCACCGAGAGGATATACACAATAACCCTGCCGAACACAGAGGGAACGTGCGGGGTCCACAGGGGAGCGAGACAACAAGAAAAGGGGGTAAGATGACGGGTGATAAAGGAGGGCCTGACAAGTGTTTCTACAACCAACTGCTTTCCTCCAATCAAAATAGAGTTGAATAAAACATCCTGACTGCTAAAGCTCTTGGATAAACATTGCCATAACTCGGGAAATTGTCTATGATGTGATGACTCTATAAAAAGATCTGCCTAGGTACAATAACTGAGCGTTCCTTCACAGGTGTGCTCCCCTGTTGTTTGTTTCTTGGAGCAACGCAGGAAACGATTGGAGTCAAGATTAAATACTTTTTTTTCTTTGATTGCGCCCAAGGAACCAATTAACAAGTGCCCTTTATTTTGACTTATATATCTCTATTATTTATCGTTCACACTGACTGAGAGTAAGACAAGTATCATAACAGTTAATGATATCAGCATGAGTGAAGTACTTTACTACGAGCATGAGTTGCAGAAGTACAGGATCTATAAATCAGCACACAGATTGGAATCTTTGTTAGTATCTTAATATGGCGCCATTACTTCTTGATAACGAATAACTTTCTCTATCTCATGTGATCTGTAGCTTTTAGTTTGAATGTCTGTAATCAAATGTATTTCTATTGTTGCTTGAATTGCAATAATTCCCAAATGGAAAGTTAAAGGTCTTTATAAAGGCCTAATCTTGTTTTTGAGCCAACAACTTAACTATATAAATGCTGAATAATTAAAAAAACTTGGTGGAACAAAAATTGATCTATACGCAATACTCGAGTCATTTATTATTCCTTGAAGTTTTTTAAGTGACCACATCAAAGTTGCCTCTTTTTTTGGTCAACTCTTCCTTGTGAATGGCTCCCCCAAGTGAGTGAACTAATTAAGTTTTAATGCCGTCCTAATGAGCCACTTGCATGCTCTGACGGTAAGGAGGGGGCTAAATTCACACGCGGCTAGGGGTGTCTGGGGACTTGCTATTGGCTGGTATTTGGATTGAGGTACTCGCTAACCCATTAACCATCCAAGGACAACACTTATGCGTGATGCCAGCCGAGTGAGAAACTACTCGCCTTGTCCCGTTTTCACTCTGCTAGAAATAATTCATCTACCATGAAAAGGGCTTTGTACTACCTCCCATCACACATCATATCCCAAAAGTATTTGGATGTGGTATTACAAAGATAGCTTTAAACATAGAACTTGTACTTTACAGAATACTAGAAAAGCATAATAGCATATATTTCATCAGAACATGCATGTAAAGTTTGTTGGAGATAGAGAGCAATTTTTTAGTAACATATACATTTTATGCTATTGTCAGGAATTAAACTCGAGAGCAAATTAAATACATGGAATTTTTCAAATCTTCTGAAGAATTATAATTCACTTTCAGAGAGTACTTGACTATGCTAAACTATTCATTTCAACGTAAAATTGCATTTTAAAAAGGTTGCTTGAGGAAAAAGTTTAAAGTAAACCCCTTTAATATTTTGTCAAACTTGAAGGAGTTGAGAATAGAGCAGATAGTGAAAGATAAAAATAGAGAGTAAACGGAATAGAAGGGAAGAGAAAGAGAGAGAAAGAGAGAGAAAGAGAGAGAAAGAGAGAAAAAGAGAGAGAAATAGGGAAACAAATAAAGAGAGAGCGAAAGAAAGAGACGGAGAGAACTCACTGGGGTCACTGGGAGAAACAAATTAATTACCATTAGACCCTTGCTGTTTGGGCAGCATGACCCAGCTAAGGTTCGACTGTTTGGTGTTAAAAATTCCCAGGAAGGTAGACAAAAATGGCACTAATTAAGATGTTATCACAAACAATTTCCGTCGGACTTTTGAGGAAAGTGCAACTCCTTTGGAGTGGTTTGATTGAGCACTAATTGCCAGGGGGATGGTCTAAGATGAAGATAACACGTACTAACAAATCCTTTTTGACAGAAAGTACATTTCAACTAATTGATAGAAGGGACGGACATGGGGTGTACAATATAATTGACTCATGAAAACACTTTCTAATCTGATCCGTTTTAGTCTTTCATGCCATGTAAATTCTAATCAGACAAAGAATTTGACGACATGAAAACAATTCTGTTCCTTTTCATCACTTTTTGGGTGATGCACGGATTTGTGTGATTTGTAATGGATTTTCATCATCTATTATGTTGCCACGGTAACAGACCGTGGTTACTATTTGCTGCGGAATTGGTAATACACAGATCAATAATTTTGCTGATGTAATTGGTTGGTAAAGCATTCACAGGGCAATGAATCACCGCATGAGCCTGCCTAATTCATTGGACAAAGGAAAATTATGCCACTATATAAACCTACAGGAAATCTCTTATTGTCTAATAAAAAAAACTAGATATTTATATCTCAATAGTAGAATCACAATTATAGGTGTAATAATAAACTTCATGTTTAAATGATGCCCACTGTCCACATCAAATGGCTGGAAGCATGAAACATTACATGAAACCTCCTGAAATACACTATACATAATAAACTGTAAGTGCTTGCTGGAGCCTCCACAAGATTAAATCATAAAACTTAAATTGAAATCAAGAGATTGATTAAACTGTCCCTCCACCCCTCCCCCCCCCCCCAAAAAAAAAGGGTTGTAAATTCCCAACATTATTTCAGTATGAAACTGAAATAAGTTGTTTAATGGAAAGCAAATAGATTGAAGAAAGAAGAAAAACAGTGACAACACTCACACAGGAAACAAATGGATCAACAGCAATAAACACATTACTTCATTGTTGTCGTCTTTTATCTTAGAAATCTCAGAGCACGAGCATGAGTGTATACTACATGAGAAGCCAGCCCTGATGATTCATAATGTCACTGATAGTCCTGTGAAGGTCAACATGATTCACTCATCATCTTAATAATCACTTCAAGTTCAAGAGAGTGTTGCTTAATCTTCCAAGAAGACTAGATACAATGATCTTGCTGTCTAATGGAAGATGAGCTGGGCCTCCTAAAGCCGTTAAATCCTTTGACCAAGAAAGTTTGGATTTATTAGAAAGATGCAATGCCACCATTTTGAACGAATGGATTTGGAAGGGATCTTGTTACCTAGCATTTTAAAATGGATTTGAAAGGCTCTTGTAACGTAGCTTTTTGTTGTATGGCTTTTCAATTGTCGGAATCATGTCAATAAATGTGGGGATATTGTTTACCAGTTATGTAACGAGGGAAAAATTATATTTCTGGCATAATATCACCTGCATTTGAGAAAAAATATCCAATAAATAAAAACTCTTACAGTATGAATAGAAGACAGATGATCTCATTATGCTCTTTAAAATCATTATATTTTGCTTCAACTTTCCAGAGCAATTTTATGCATTTTAACTGAAAATTTATAAGCAAATGAAATACTTTCTTCTTTACAGACAAAATACACTGACAGTCCCTTTAATCCCACATAAGAGTAACGTAAACCATCTTCAAAACTAGATATTAATTTCAGAGAGTACTACATTTCGTATAAAATAGGGTAGACTAACAGCCTATGGCCTTTCTAGCAGCAGGAGTTCTCCAGCCACAGTCATGCTCTAATTGTACAAAGGACACAATCCACCCTGTCCAGTAGAACAAACCAAGACAAGTATACTCAGGCTACTTACATGTCATAATCTTTTTGTAATAGGACCATTAACATTGCAGAAAATCCTTCTGCCCTCTTTTTAAAAAAAACATTTACATGTTCTCTACAGGGGGAAAAAACAACATAAAAAAACAACATAAAAAAAACATTGGTGTTTGATAATTCTGGGATTTTGGTGAGTTGTGCACATGCGCTACTTGTCACTGCTCTGCACGCATTAGCATTGTGTTTATGGCCGAGCAACTTTTGCCAAAACTCCTTAATGTGAGAAAAACCAATATTATTTTGCCTAAAGTGTAAATGCCCCTAAATAAGGGGGAAAAATCATCAAGGAAAAGGAAGTGCAGAACATTTCGCTGCCTAAAATAAGAAATAAATTAATAGAAACTTTCATACTTTCTCTTTTTCTCTTTGATTTAGGTATATGGGAAATGACATGGTAAATATTGAAGATACATGTAGTACGAAGGCAGGAATTACAAAAAACTTGTTCCATGGTCCTAACTAGGCTGTCTACTACCATACCATACGACTAGCTCCCATGAACCAAATATTGATTTTCACACTTGCCATCACGAAGACCAACCGAAAGTACAGTCAGTGCAAGCTATCCTCAGAATATATATGTACTTCAGGTTTTGTTTTGAAAAGATTAATTTGTGAAATCACAAACCCGACACCCCCTTACTCTAATCATACGATGATCAACAAGGAATTAATCCCCCAATACCAATCCATATTTCTTAGAATGAATTGCCTGTGAGGTATTTCTTCTCTCGTTCCATTAAGATGTGTTTTTACAGGACAGGGTTACAATAACACTCTCTAGTTCAACAAAGGCTCAGTATCCTAAATCTATTGTAGCACGTCTCTAGACTGTTCAAATTCTTGTAAAATATGGCGAAGACGTTGCACAAATATTTGTGTACTGTACGACAGAACAAGCAATCATCTTAGTTGATTATTGTACTCTGTAAAACAGTTTTGCTGGAGCTCCAATAAGAAATGCCTACATTTAATGTTGCATCACATTCACTCAGGCTGGGATACCATTCCGTCCGGGGTTGCTCAGAGCAAAGCACGGATCAGAGACTTTTTCCCTTTGGTTGAGTAGAACAATTAATTCTGAGATGCTCAACAAAACATAAGACCTCACGAATAAAAGAAAATGGACTGCTGAAAAATTATAACAGGAGATATTAATAGGGTAAATCGGCAGATGATGTGATTTTTCCATTTAAATTCACCTGACAGACTACCCATAAATTACACTGCTTCCAGCTACCGGTTATCTTCTGCTATGAGCACAATGTAATACCTAGGCCTTAACACTTACTGAGCTTAGCATTCCAGACAGTTCTAGTGCCATAGAAGTGATTTCGCCCTTGATCTTGAGAGAGAATGCCTGCAGATTTTAGACTAGTTTAAACCTAGATGATAGGCATGTCATAATCACCCCAGGGGGGGTATATAGTCAAATCAATTACCCACAAAGTAATTAAGACCATTCCTGGTGTTTTCTACTGTCACACCAAACCTTAAGCTGGCTAAGGTACCCCCTACTAACCCTACAAGGATGTTCACAGCGGTCCCTCATCCCAATCTCACAAGGTACTTGGCATGTTTGACGCATCTACCTACGGCAGCCAGGCAGGGCAGGGCTGGGGGGGAAATAGTAACACGTCTAGCTTCTACAAGGAACTGGATCCTTTTGTCTTGGATTTTAACATGTGTTCTTACAGCATACTGTGCGTGAAGTACCGGGAGGTCATTGGAAGATAATTGGTTTCCTAAACAGGATTGTGCCACTGGTGTGTGATCTGTCGATGATACTATGTATCACTAAAAATATCTACATTTTGCCCGCAACATGTTGTACCGGCCAAGGAATGGCATCCTTGTGCTTTTAAAATAATCGCTTTGAAAACTGTCATGTGAGATATGCGAGATATCTGGGGGAGATTGTGAAGGGCTTATCCATAATCTATGTACTTTGCATGCAAATTGATGTAAAAAAACGTTACATATTCATATGCAGTCTAGATTATCAACTTTCAAGCCTGGTGCAATTTATGCATGTTGTCCAATTTCAGTTGAACTTCATTTGGTGGTGCCTAACTCCATGTAGCATATAATAGGATTACGGGACATACATGTATCTTTCTTCCAATATTCTACCTACCCATTATTGAGCTAGATGAATCCATGTAGCTACTTTCCATCCCTCTTGAACTAATGCTGTCACTATACGGTGCTCGCCCATGCTCATATGGTACCTGTACATGAAAAACAAAAAGAGAAATACAGAAATGTTCATTATGTGCATACTCTCCATTGATCAATGCATGATTACCACGTCAGCACGTCTTTGCCTACACTCACTTCCACACCCCTTCCAAAAGACATACAAAACATGATGCAGAGGATGTAATATATTTTGTTTAGAACGACATTCAACTCTTTTCAATTAACATTTAAAAAACTGCACATACCAAGATATACAGTATGCCACACTTTCAATGCGGTTATTTTCATTTTCTGTATTCTTACTTTTTCTGGCTTAAAAAAATACTTCTTGTTTTTTCCATTATCCCCTCCTGAGTCCTAGTTGAGTTGAGTAAGTTGAGTAATGAAGCAAATCATTTCCATTATTACTTTCATTATGAATACAAGAGGTGAATATCAACAATAAAGATACAAAACAGTTTTACACTTTTCATATCGCTTTTTTTAATTCAATAATTTCCCCATTTTAACATGTATCAAACCTAATAAATTGATTTTCAACTTCTTCATGGGTAGGTAAACAATGAAAGGATTTTTATTTTCTAATTAATAAAAAAATGGAGATTAACAAAGCTATGTCATCCATGAATTTAAAAACAAAGAACAGCCTGGAGGTTTCTTCCAGGGCTTCTACAAAAAGGAGATGTCTTTTATCAAGGGTCTGTGGGCAACAGTAAGATTAGGCAATTAGTGCCAGCTCATTCCACCTGAACTCATGCTACAGCATAATTAATTTCCACATATCACGTTCGTGACTGCACGCTTTGTGATCAGTAAAAGGCGATGCTCCGTTTGACGAGGTCTTGTTAAGTTCAAGTGTGACGCTGTTAATCTTACTTCAAAGTCCTCTTCATATTTCATGAGTCCTCCAAGACTGGATGGATAGAGATGAGGATGTGAGGTGGGGGGGGGGGGGGGGGGGGGAGGGGGTGTTTTCACCAAGTTCTTATTTAGGTGGTGAGGGACAGTGTTATTGTTTGCCTCAGGTTTGCATCGTGTTTGCCTGAATGGAGTGGCATAGTACAGGAAAGGAATAGGCCTCATGCAATTCTCGTCTTCTGGGAGATGCAACGTACATACTTGCAGTCTTGTGTGATATTAAATACAATAGATACTCCACAGGAGCAATTTATTGATTAAGCTATTTATCATGTTGATTTCAGGTTAAAAGTTGATTTCAGGTTAAAAGTTAAAACCAACATTCTCCACATGGGAAACAAGTAGCACAGATACTTGTGAAGTTATGTCAGCCTATAAGAATCTCTCTTTTACTGTGCAATAAATGTCTCAGTAACAAACAGCATAAGATTATGTCTTTTGTGTTGAATTGTTGAAATTTCTGATTTGTTTTTTAAACAAACCATAAACAACAGAAACATTCTCTGAGTGATTCAGTAACTGACATTTTTCTGATATGCGATGATTCTACGTGCATGAAATGCCATTTCTAAATTACAGATGTATAATGCCTCATACTGAATAAATTTACAAGGCTGGATAACATGCCAGTTTTCTGTGCCAGATTTATCGTTATCCCTTGCTGAACCCTGCATGAAAGACTGCATAAATTACTTGAGATAAACCGTCTTGCAAATCTGCTGTGGCTGTTTAATTCCCATCTCCTCATTGTCAGCCATCCCAGAGGAGTAGCGTGAAGAGCCAGTTGCATCAACTCTTCAATACAGACAATCTTCATGGAGTAAGGTGGCAGGGCCCAAAGGGGCCTGACCGGTAAAAATTAAATGATATCCGCACCTCGCTGGACAATCTTAGAAAAGGCGGATCAAATTCGATCAATGACGGTTGAGGTACTCTGACAGGTACTGAACTTTCTTCACTCTCTTCTTTTCTCTTCTCTTCTCTTCATCAAACAAAGGTTGGCTCCTTCTCCTTCCAGTCTGCCCATTAGGTTAGTTGTTTTACAGGATTTAAATCTAATCTTGAAGAGTGCATTTGAGATGTGTGGCACACTCACTCTCTCTCTCCCTCTCTCTCCCCCTCTCCATGCAGTAGAGAGGGGAAGGGGGACTCCCCTGGGAAGTCATTGACAATATGGCGCTTAAATGAACGCCATTACGCCCCACAAAAGGCAAATAGGATTTTCGCACCGAGGGGGGATAAATAATGGCTACTTCAGCCGAGAAGATGAGATATGCAATCTCTCATTTTAACACGGAATCCAAGAAAAATGGCCGCGAGCAGCAAAAATGGAGAAGTGTGGCAAGGGAACGGGCTCGTTTAATCTGCGATTATGACGGCTTGCCTCACCATGGAGCTGGCCAATTAGAGTATACAGACGCTTCTATTACATTCAGGCATGTTGCATCTCATCCACCTGAAGATATAATTCTAAAAATGTTTCTATGATACAATCTCTCTATGGATGTTACACATTCAATACTGTTGCTAATACACATGTTGCATATAGTCCTAGAAAATATCAAGCTACCTTTACATTGACATAATATTAGCATTCTTGATTAATTTTCTGTTAATGATATATATATATATATATATATTCTGATTTAAAAAAAATGGAAACATTAAACATACGATAGCCAGCTTGAACGTCTGAAATTATCATATCTTGGAAATTTACATTTTATCAACTCTATGCTAATAGTTTTACTTTGTGTCTTCAACATACTTCTTTAATACCTAATTATCACTATGAATTATTTTTTCTTTAATTATGTATAATTTTAAAACTATTTTCTTTTTTTCTTTTTTGTATATAAAGCTTTATACATCTGTACTACAACTATATTTCATGGTTCAATCTATCATCTTTATGCTTTATTATGTTATCATATTATTGTATAAGGTAAACACAAATATGTACCCGTTACGCTCATTGGCTCGATTTACGCCTCATGTTCCCTGAATATGATTCATATCATACATATAGCCACATGCCCTAATGCCGAAAGTATGGTGAAATGTGTGATATAAATTTGCCAGACAAATGTCTGAGATTAATCTGTGTACAAATCCCCCACTATCAATCACCTCTATATTTAACCAATTGAATTAAGCAAAGAGCAAAGTTTGTTTGACATGTATCTCTTACCCTTGTATCATATGCTGGGCCTTGACTATTCCAATTAGAGGCTGAGCTGCTGCCATCCATACCTGTAGCAAAAATACAAAAAATAGAGAGAAATAATGAAATATTTAGAAAGAGCAATTTCAGAATCTGGGTGTAAATGACAGAAAGACCATTCATTCTGCAAAACTTAATTTCAGGTCAAAACAAAATGTCTTTTCTTTCTGTTATGTTTTCTGGTTTTGTCATACAGTGCGTGCAGTGTATGTCATCAAAATTAGAAAACAACACAACATATAAAGAGAGTACACCTGTCTGCAAAATATGGTAATACTGTAAATGGAAAGCAGAGTACCCGGTGTACACATTTCTAAATCAACAATTATTATCATTTTTTACATGTATATATCTGTGGATGTGCCTGTATTTACATGTGTAACAGTGAAACAGTCAGAGAGAAGAAGCAGTGCATTGTTGTTATTAAAAGGGCATCTCTAATAGGTGTCTCTTCACACCACTCTTTATGATTGAATAGATCACATGGATAACATTAAAAGCTTTCAAACAAAATAAGTTGCACTCAATTCACCATTCCTCAACAAAAATCAATGAATATTTCATACAAGTTCCCCTATTTACAAAATACAACATACATGTACACAATTTTAATGTGTAAAGCGAAATACAACACTGTTAGTATTTTATCAACCTTCCATCGTTATGTTCGTTCTTGCTGAATATTATACATTAAAATAATTCATTCACATTGAAGCAGTATATACCTAACAACATACAATACATTTATTACAGGGTATCTCAAGTGATTTTTTTCATACCAGGCCAAGCAAGCATGGATCCTGCATGATCTAGCAGCAAGCTTCTAATTGAACCGATTCCTGCATGCTACAAAGATAGCATGACCCTAACCTTCTGATCACTATGTATGTAATGAGATGTGGTGTTATCCCTTTAAACCTTGAGCATCCCCAGCATCCTAGTGATGCGGTTGCTATGACGGATGGAGGGATGATGCTAATGGAGTGATTCACTGCTGAGGAACGGTGTGAAGCCGCTTCATTACTAACAGTGTCGCGCAAATGTCAAGACTAATCTTAAAGGTTCCACTCCTAACCCATCCATATCATTAAAAACAAACATACAATGCTCAATTTACAGTGGGGATGAGGACTGTTACCGAACCCCGCAATGTGATTTGGTAGAATGCTGCAATGTGATTTGGTAAGATTGTTATCTCGCTACGAGGCAGTCAGAAATGCTTAAACATTTCCAAAATGAGACAAGCAACCATGCCGATTTATGCAAACAGAATGTAAGCAAGATTATTTCAAGCTAATCGGGAATTCAAATATTATTATCACACCTTTAAGAACCATTATCACACCCTTAGATCAAAGATTTCCTTTGGGGGCACATTACATAACAAACATACTTTATCTGGCTTCTTTATACAGAAGTCATGAATGCTTAAATCACAGACAAGGAAATTGCCAATGAATAATAACAAATCAAATTACGATCTGGATGGTTTCTCTTTATCTGTCAAAAAAAAATATATTATTTTACAAGTCAAACGATGTACAGAAAAGAAATAGCACACTTTGCAAATTGATTTATGTTTGCTTGAAAACTGTTATTACGTGAATCCACACATTGTAAAGTTTGTATGTATTTGTGTTAAATGTATAGAAGCATTATGATCATGCATACATGTAGATAGACTTGGCAATTTTGCTATAGATTTAAACGCAGATTGTAAGTCTGAGTGGGTTATACGGTTAGGAAATGAGAAGTAAGTGGAAACAGATAACTTCATTTATATTCATTACTCAACAAACTACCAATAGCAGAATGGATGTTACTCACTCGTTTTTCCCTTCAAATTAGAATATGAAATAACACATACTGGAAGCCTAGCTTTAATTAGAAGAGACGCTAATGTTTTTCTCTTTATTAACTTATTTTACAACACTCAATCTCCTATTAAAATGCAAAAGATTTTGTTAAATTTGTATGCAATATTAAAGGAAAATACAGATTAACTAGTGTCCAACACGAAGGAGGATATTTCAACATACAAGTTTTGTCATTAAAACAGTAAACCCATTTTTCACTTGTTTAAAAAAAGCTTTGTCCCATTTATGGAGGGGGCCGGGCTACTCGGACGAAGTTTAGTTCATTATTTGAAAATATGAAGTATTTCTCTGCCCCAGCTCCAGGGAGTTAATGAAAAGGTCAACCGAGAGATAATCTGGCCAGATAGCAATTAAACCTGTGAGCTCATACTTGTTACTCTTAAATAACAACTTCTCTGCTCTATCCCCATGAGTAGCCGCCACTAGAGAGAAATTTGTGGTGACAAAACACTCAACAGCTATAACACAAAGTTTCCTCTCAAATTTGTTGCCATCGTTGGCAATAATGCCCTACATGGATCTCTGTAAGTCGGACAGACCATATAATCAGAAACAAGATGAAGATTAGAAAGAGCAGGAACAACATGTATGTTTCACTTGATATTGTATATGATATTCATTTTATGTTGCTTGACTAAGAATTGTTGGTGTCTAGTCATAATAGTAGCCAGTCCTGAAATCTTATTGAATGGAATGACCCTTCAGAAGTGTTTAATTTCAGATACACCACTGAACAACAATATAATTATCACAGCAGCAAAAAGTGTGAAGTCTCAACTTTCATTATTTTGCCTTGACTGCTAACACAATAAAACAGACAATATTAGGCTACACTGGAAAGCAGTAAAATAGGCATATCATCTTTTTGAAATAGAAATGAGCTTTATGAGCTAAAGGAACCAGCCAAAATGAATCAGAGAAGGACATTTCAAAACAAAATCACTCCATCAAAGATGATTTACAGTGTGTCGCATGTATTGATGATCATGCACGTAGGGGACACTCGCTTCACTGCAAGGCAGAGATGCAGCACGACACATATGCAACCATGCCAAGAGTGGCGCACGAACGTATTTGGTCTAAACTGCTTGCATCGTCCCCATTCTCAGTGAGATGGAAAGCGATTTCTTAAATTGTAATTTCTTGCTAAGAAATGAAGCATGACTAGGTTTGAGGGCAGGGAATCAATCAATGTTTAGCTGGGTGTAAACGGGTAATAAGGTAATGATCATCAAACTCCTCCCACCATCAACCTTTCCATCAAACATTTCAGTTTTATCGTGTGAGTCGCCGGAAGCTCTCTGGTACTTACTGCCAAACAACTTGTATTATAAATCAAAATCCCTCATTTATTCATTTACATACATGTGCATCTTTGTTCACGACATCTTCCAATTTCATAAATCCTGTTACCCCCCCCCCCCCCTATTCATTGCAAGATGAGGAAAAGTATTTTAAAGCATATCATAGATTTGACAAACATTAGATCTTTTCACTTCAATTTCATAGGTAATGTGGTGCTCAATCATTTTCTTGATAGTTTTAGACCAACAAAGGAAATAACCAAGCTGCAAGAAGTACAGATTTCTTCCAGTTATACACTGCTATACTATAGCCAAAATCTGACTTTACCTAGAAACTTAAATGACAAGCCCCAACCCTGCAGATCTATAAATTACCTGAGATTTATACATGTAGGAGCGAATTTTGTTGAAAATTTGAAGAGCCCCATTAAAGAATCTTTTTAAGGGCTGAATTATACAGTTACAGAGTATCAACAAAACACTTTGCCTTATAATAATTCAAACATTCCCGTAAACAAGTCTCTTCACAAGGGCCGACAAATGTATATGTGGTAACATATCATACCACAGTTACCAGGAAAACAGTGTTGTATAGATGTAAATGCATGAAGATGTAGAATACCGGTAGTATTAAAGTGGTATTTCTTGGGTGCTTTGATGACATGGAAGATTGATGACCAGTGAACCATCTAGCCTGTCTCCACTGTCCACCACCACTTATATCTCATTTATTATTAACCATCATCAGGGCATAAACAGCTCATTGCCAGAAGCAATTCAAAGAGGACCAACCTCATTACTCAACCGTTATTTGTTTGCATTTTCATCTGCTTCAAGTGCATTTTTCAATCTAATCAAATTTAAATCAAACAGAATTTAGATAAAGCAAATCAATTTTTCCCACAAAATCTTTTTTCTTCTTCATTTTATCAACCAATATCTATCTCCTAGCTATTCAGGATAGATTTCTAACTCAATTTGTATACTTATTTTCCATAATTCTCTATAATAGCCTTTTCTTCTTCTTCATTTCCATTTAATTTTCATGTAAACTGTCAATCGTTAAGCCAAATCAATCTAATCTATAACAAATTTGTGTTTAAAATTTAAAAAAAAACGCTCAGCCAAATGAATCTAATGACAAATTTGTGTTTTAAAAAAAAAAGATTCATCAAATATTGTCAAGGTATGTAGAGGTACACATTTTCAAGTTATAATATCAAACTGACTCATTTATGACAGATAACAGTGCGAGGGAATTTATAGTGACTACACCATGTATTGAACTCCCTAGATAATTTTTTTTTTACTAACAATGTGTGTTGTTGAGAGTGTCATAGCTTAGTATCATCATAATGAGAGTATGATGTGTGAAGGTCATCTATCTGTACCCCTTTGGGACATCCACATGCTGCACTCTGCACAGTTTCCTTTTCCCCTACAGCAGGTTTAATATTCAAAGGCATATCATTACCAACTTCAATTACAAATCTCCAATTTTAGTTTTAGGCGAGCGAGCGGTGATTTGGATGTGCGGTCATAGCCCGGGATTCAGGCTTGGCTAGCCATGGCTATCGCCTCCTTGCCATTCCTCAATTAAACCAATTTGCTATTTTATTCTACTAGAGCTTTGTTTCCTTCATTCTTATCCTTGACTTTTAAACCATGAACTTGAGGCAGGAAGCCTAAAGAATTTGAGAAGAGTGTGATGAATAATCTAAGACACTGTAGAAAGTAAAATGTACATTCAAAGATCTTGAGCATTTCTTTCAAGTAACAACACACTGACCAAACTCCTTCGCTTCTATGGTCTTGACAACAAACTGAAATTAAGAAGAGCTAGAATGAT